CACTCTCTTTACATCTCGTGCAACTACACTCACTTCTTTATCTCAGTCGCACCAGTCGCCCTTCGGCACCTCACAGCTCCCAGGAAACTAGCAACTGGGTAGGCAGAGTACTCTTCATTCTGGACTATGTCTAACATGGCAAGCAGTCTTTCTATCCTCTCCTTACGGTGATCTGGTTTCGACACTGCTCAAGACTACTACGTACCCGGACGCTTCCAGTCACTCCAAGATGCATCACTTCATTCTTGTCGCTTCAGCTCTGGCCGCTAGTATCCTCGCTCATCCGCACATCCATGCGAGGCAGCCAGGAGTCGTCTATGAGACCAAGATGATCATACAGACGGTCGTCGTTACGGTTACTCGAGGCTACACTCCGCCGTCATCCACCTCTTTGGCGCTATCCGCTACCGCTAGCCCCGAGAATACTTCATCCCCAGAGCCGACGCCCCAGCCTGCCCCTCAGCCCGAGCCCTCGACTTCCAAGGTTTCTGATACCCCCGTTATGTCACAAGCACCTATGCCCAGCGACAGTCCTGCGCCCAAGCCTGCCGATCCAGTTCAAAAGCATCCATCGGGCGAAGACCAGGCCTACCTCTCTTCTGGACCCGACTATGAAGCTGCTATACTGTTCCATCACAACGCCGTTCGTGCGAATCACGATGCAGCTCCACTGAGCTGGGATTCCGCCTGCGAGGCAAATGCGCGTATTGCTGCTAGCAGGTGCGACTTCGAGCACTTCACCCCACAGGGCGCCGGCCAAGGTCAAAACTTATTTGTTGTCTCTGGCGACGCATTCAACGTTACTGCGGGCATATCGGAGACCTGGTATCATGGAGAGCTTCCCCATATGACACCCTGGTTTGGCAAGAGTGACCTACCTCATGAGGTCTTCGAGAAAGTCGGTCATCTTACACAGATGGTGTGGAAGGACACCACCAAAGTCGGATGCGTCTCTCTTGACTGTGGCGGGGCCATGACTGTCAACGGCATAGGTTCGGCCATGAACAAGTACACAGTCTGCAATTACGCTCCATCGGGTAACTACAAAGGGCGGTATGCAGCGCAAGTCGCCCCTCCTATCCCATCTGCCAACTTTATCGGCTGGGCAGACTAGTCGTCACTTCAGCTGGTACGTCCTGTCTTTTCGATCTTCCCGATGATATGGGCTATCAGCGCTTATGGTTATACGGATATCGCTCGGCAGATCAGGAGCATGGGACGCATGAGGCAGGCCTTCCCTCGCTGTTTCCTTTCTGGCATGGTTACTAGTCTTCACCTAGCGTTCACTACTTCCATCAGCCAAGTGCCGGATATCTCAGCGAATGCATATCGCCGTACATCACGATGTGCGACCAGTTTCAAAGTGATTCCAGATGCAGCTCATCTCAATACAATGTCCATGGCCGTGCCTCAAAGTGCTCGTGATGCGTGGAGCTGAAGGTTGCTTGCTTGTAAACCATTTGTACTTGTCCGTCGCTTCAGCTTCACACAAAATCGGTGCAAAGATCTCGCAGTAGTGTTAGAAGTGGTAACGGCGAAGTTGCGAGAGAGCGGACCCTTTCGACAGGCGCTGATGACGTCGTGGGCGAACCTCGGCCGCTAGCGACGCGCCTTCTATTCACGACGCGTCGCGCTTTCCCCACCTCCTTCGTTCACTACATAATACCGGCCATCGCCTACGGCGCTGGCGGAAGTCATTCCATTGTTTCTATCTCTGCGGTACGGATTCGTGCCATCGCTGGAAGATACTGATGTCCGCGCCTGCTGCCAGCGCGTGAAGTCTGGCTACTAGCCGATCTTTCTCTTCGCGATGCGAAATCGACACTGAGTAACATCTACACTTCTCGACACTGAATGAAGAGCACAGCGGGGCAAGATGCAAGAGATGTCTATAGCCCAACGCTGGGTCCCGAGGTGCGGTGATGGCCAGGTCAAGACCTTCGATAGAGGGCGCTTGAGATCTTCCTGTAGAGCGACTTTCATCAACTGTCAGGACTTGGCGCTTTCACTGGAGCAGGAAGTGAATGCGTTCAGCGCCAGGCCCGTGCGCGCTCGTTTCTCTGGTAAGGCAGCGGGCCTGCGCATATACAACTACTGTTTCGTACTACCTTGACTTCTCTACCGCCAGAGCACTAACTCACATCTCTACTCATATACTAGGGCTACTTTCAACCATACATTACCTTGCGAACCGCACCACCGTTAAGTGCATCCAGCCCCTACGATGGCGGCGCCTGCCATGCTCGATTATACCAAGGTCTTGCCGACTGAGCTGAGACACATGATCTGCGAACTTGTAAGCAGCTATAAACGCTTCCTACCTTTGTGCGATGTAAGTTGCAATCGCTAACGGAATTATAGCTTCCGAACGATGATCAAACACATGCCCGCCTGGTCGACAAAGTATGGAGTTCTGCAGCTGGCACAGTACTTTGGAATACCTTCACGACCAATCTCGATGAAGGCAGCACAATCGATGCTCTACTTCGTTCAGATGATATCTTGGACACGATCAAGGAGCTGGATATTGACGGATGCAATTATGGGGATGAACATTTCCCCACCACTACGGAAATCTCAAGTCGTTTTGTACAGCTTCTGTGCGCGCTACCGAGAAACAGCCTTCGAGCGTTTACGACCACGCTAGACTTTGACGAACGTACGGTTGGTCTTATACTCAAGACTCAATCTCAGCTCTCGAAACTTTCGTTTCCCTCAACGACCCTGCACGACAAGTTACTCACCGGAAATTTAGATAAGCTGGAAGATTTGACACTTCTACCACAAGAAGCAGATCGCCATGCCGATGCCAAATGTTTGGCTTTCACTCCCGTTCTCCGAAGACTCGCAACCAAACCCAAGGCTCAAGATGCACACAACGGAAGACCCTACTCCTGGAGTATGCCAAAATTGGAAGTGCTCTTGGATCTACGCAATATCGAGATCCACTCTGCTTTCATTGAAGAGCAGGAAGATTGCTTCGGCGGTATGACCAACCTGAGTAGCCTACAAAGTCTGCTTCTGAGTAACTGTTCGGATATGCCGCGTACCGTACAGTGCCTCGCCGATGAGTTTCTCAAATGCGACAAGCCCGCACTCAACTCAGTCATCTTCCGACAATTGAGCGTCCTGGGAAGAGAGAAGCCATTTAACACCGAGATCGAATACTTTCTTGAAGCCGTTCCGACACTCGAGACTCTCTGCATCACCACAATCAAGGCCATGCGCCCGTCTATTGGCAGCATATGCCGCCATGGAGAATCTCTGCGCTACCTGCACATTGATCATTTCCCCAATCTTTACGAGTACAGAGGTCGCTATACGGGAAATGTCGAGCGTTATACGCCTCAAGAGCTTGAGAGGCTTGTGGCAAGTTGTCCGCACATCGAAGCACTCAGTCTTAATCTTGTTGATTGGGACCTCGGAGACTATACTGCATATGACACTTTCAATGTGCACGATACCGGACGAGGTTTACAGGAGGATGTGAAAGTATCCGATCTCCTAGTAAGTGTTTCGCGATGACGCCAACATTGGTCGTGAATGTTACACTAACTTCATCATAGTTACCTCTCACCCAACTGCGCAACCTCCGCAATCTCCGTATTACCTATCCTTTGTTTCAAGCACAAAATGAAGAGCAGGGGGAGACATATGAGTACATCATCCACAGACATCAACTCCGCTATCAACAAGTAGCCAATGTCATCATGGAGTTTTTTGCAGACCACGAATCGCCCATTGAGCTTCTTGCCTTTGGTACGGGCTACTGGCCAGAAGATACATACTCGTCGGCAGGCTGGATGGACATGAATGGGCATTCATTTCCCGACTTCTCCTACCGTCGCGGAATAGTGACAGTAGCAATGCGCGGAGGAAAGCAGGTTTCGCGTGCTCTTGCTGTTCCCATGCTAGAACAAGGCCAACATGAGGATATGCTTTTCTGGAAGTAAGCGACCGGAGAATAGGTGGCCAGAGGATGTTCACGGTCTGTTATGGTGGTGGAGCCACGAGATAGAAGTTAATCTATACTTTGGCCTAGGGTGCTTGGTACCTGTCAGGAAAGATGCGTGTCTTTGTCGCGCACCTAGTGTTCGGGAGATTATGGGCGCATCATGTCTGCTTCTAGAGTGTAGCGGATACCGCGTGATGCCGTATAGCTAGGAGAATAGCACCAAAACATTTTAATACCACAGCTTCCATGTCCAGTCCCCCTAGAGTCAACTCCTGCGTAATGCGCGAAGTATTGTGATGAGTTTTGGGCGCCATCATGGCGCACAGCTCGCAATGACATCACGCGTCATGCTTTTCCGAATGTGGATAGCGTGGCGCACGGATGCTTGCTGAAGTCAATCTCCGAGCCCCCGAGACGCCTGTTCTTCCATCATCATCTCGCACCATACAGTCGCCTTAGCGCCAGCTCTCCTCGGTTTCAGCAAATCTGTAGATACCTCTCGTCTCAGTCATATGGCGTCCCCAGGCATACCATCGTCGCGTGACTGTTCTGTCTCGCGACGCGTCCCGTTCAGCCTTCGGTACCCGCTAACCTGACGTACCTCGAACGCTACCAGGAGATGGGCAGTGGTGCTTCCAACCGCTGTTCATGAGGCTCATTGAAGAATAGTATGACCAGATATTGGTCGCTTGATGCAGTGCTGGCAAGTACTTCCATCATGATGTCTTTCGGACGCGTTTTACCTTGGGCCCGACTGGAACTACATGAAGCAGTGACTGCAACGCCTTCACTGACCTGGGTATGCAACCTACAACTGATTACTCATGTCGTCAGTGAATGGTAACTTACTCACGTTGCTCACGCCGCAGCCCTTTGTGGCTGACTTCAGTTTCACTCATTCCACGCTCCTGCCGGTGCAGGGACCAACGCGCGCATCTATCGAATAAGAACCTCACCCGAACTGGCTCTACTACTCATCGACTGATCAACTGACCACACGACTCTACCCTGGACTGCAACATAACCAGCAAATTCATCACCCAAAATGCCGCAAGTATCGGGCGAACTCGACATGGCCCTAGTACCTAGTGTGCAAGGCCACATTGGAAAGCTGCCACAAGAGCTGCGGCTGCAGATTTGCGAACTGGTAAACCATCAGCAAGATCAAATACTTCCATAGTGCTAATGTAGACGCAGTTGCCAGGCCGAGCGCTCAAGAACCTTGGACTGGCCAACAAACGATGGCGAAAGTCTAGTTCGACTGTGCTCTGGAAGACTTTCAGCTCCCATCTCCAGGAACGAGGTCGCGATTTCGACGCGCTACTCTTATCCCCACCTGACGGATTTCTCGATAACGTCAAGAATCTTAAGATTATCCTGTATTCCGAGGTTTCCGAGAAGGTGCTGCAGCTGATCACCGTCCTTGCCCAAAACACATTACGCACCGTGGAGCTACCGACTGTGGACCCCAGCACCTTGGGCCTCTTGATTCGCTCTCAAAATCTGATTGAAGAGCTTGCGTATCAGCAGCCTGCAAAGAAGCATGGCTATGGCTGTCCGGACTCTCGTTTCCTCGTAGGCAACTTGCAAAAGCTTCGAAAATTGACCATTACACCCGCCAACGACGACGACTTTAGTGCGTGGCTTCTCAACACACCAGCTTTGGAGACCCTTAATGTTGCACCTTACATCGAGTCCAATCGATCCAATCCCAAATTCGGACAGCTGGCTTCGCTCAAAAGGTGGAAATATCCTAGTACTTTCATACCTCTGAGGCTTCGACACCTTCGCCTGTCGTACATCAACCTATTCGATGGCCCTTACCATCTGGGGAAGATCACTGATCTCCAGTCTCTCGCAGATCTTGAGATAAGATACTGTATCAATGTCTCGTCCTTTTTAGAGCATTTGAGCATTGAATACTCCGCACTGGACAGCTTCGCTTTGAAGTCGCTGTGTTTGATACAATCTTTGGAAGAACCAGACTTAGTCAAGTTCTTAGATCAGTTTATCGGATGCTTTTCAGGCCTGGAGAGGCTGTTCGTCGCGACTCGAAATCCTCAGCATGTCAATGTGGAGAATATATGTCGACACGGACAAACTCTACAACTTCTCCACTTGGATCCGTTGTATCGTCCACATCGCCTTCCGCTATCCGAAGCCAGGAACCATTGCTACACGGCTACCGAGCTCGAGACACTTCTAGTTGGATGTCCAAAGATAGAGGAGCTGGGTATCCATGTCGCTGCTATCGATATCAGGTCTATGACCCGTGGCGTGCCGTTCCTGTTTCCTCGGGAGGAGAACTTTGCAAAGACTTTGGACGTAATAGCCCGCTTTCCTCTGCTACGCAGCTTGCGCTTTACGCATTTGCTAGCACTGGAGGAGAATATTGAGTTCGACAATCCAGTTGAACACGCGGTACAATACTCTCAATTGGCAACCGAGGTCCTACGATACCTAGTAGCGCGAAGTTCGCACGTCGAGGTTTATACTACCAGTCCTACAGTCCCCCCGGGTTACCTTGATATGGTCGAGGACTTCCATGGCCATCAGTGGCCTCGCTACTACTACCTACGTGGATCAATGACCTTACCATTCCGCGGCCAGCACCGCACTGAGGTCGTGGCGGTAGCAGTCAAGAAGGAGGATATCGCAGGCTACATTCGGTGTCCAACAAGCTGATTTAGGAAGGAACCGACCGCTGAAAATACGCATTGATGTCAGCTGGTCATGAGGCAATCGTGTTTACCCAGTACTTTGCTTTATCACAAACATCTCCGACTAAGACATGGTGGGTCTGGCATAACAATGCTTTGCATCGAAAAGGGATGGCGCCTTGGACACCACTAGCCACTGAATGCGGGATGTGAATGATGGGATGGAGGACCAGAAATGAGTGAGAACGAGGAACGAGTGGGTAGCAAACTTGAATGAGTATGTAGTTACCCTTCAGTAGCCAAGTATTCGTTCTTCCCCATATCGCTTTGCACCCCAAAATCAGAACTATCTCGACAGTCACAGCAACAAGAGCAGCTTCATATAAGAACCCAGACAGCCTCGTACCCGCCAGGCGGTATAGATACACGTTCCATGGCCCCTGACAAACAGGACAGGCGAGCACATGAGAATTTAAATATCCAGTTTCGCAAGCGGGACATTAGATTAATGGAAAGAGCTTGGAAACATATGCCGGCCGTCAAACAAGAGCTGTCGTTCTTTTGAAATCTTGCGATACGAGAGGCGAGCAACGACGTGTAAGAGTTGTCCAGGATTTTTGATGCGCACCCATACACTCCTCAGAAGCCTTTTTTAGTCTTGTAAACTAGCTAGTAAGTTTGAAGGAGGAAGAGAACACCGGCGATAGTGAGGAGGTATTTATAAGCGACTAGAGTTTCATAATCATAACAAAGTGTGAGTTTGTTGTGAGCGCCATTGGTCTTGATGTGTGGTGCTTTGCACTTCGCGGGAAGACAGGCAGGCGAAGACATTAGTGGTGAGCGCATATTTTTTTGAAACAAGCTTCATGACACTCTTGGACAGCGATTTTGGTGTCATCTGGACAGAAAGATTGAGTGCGTGAAGTGCAGGACTTGGAGCGACAAGCGGGCGGTATTTATATCTATTCGTAGCATCGCAGTATGACAAGATTGTAAGACCAATTCGCACAGCCATGTAGAGTACGAGTAGCGGCTTTCCGGTACTTGCGTACATTTTAGAAGCGGAAAGAGAAGCGCAGACATCATAAGCCCAGTCTTTTCTTTTGTTGCGCACTCATCCAATACAACGTCGCATTTTTTGGTATGGCAAACCTTCCGGCTGAGGGTAGGAAGTAGAAGCTCTGAGGCGATTGTTGTAGAACGATCGCGTCCAGCCGCAGTGTCACTGTTTGGTAGGAAAGCACAGAAGAGCAGGAAAACCATAGGGCTTGACTTCGTGCATTTTGAGAATGCACTCCGCGAGCGAAAGAAAGAAGAGAGAACATGCGGCGGTCGTCCTGAACTTTTGGTGCCCACTCATGTTTCGCTCGTCTTCAAATTTTTGGTATTGCACACCGAGGTGCAGAGTATAGGAAGTAACCCAGAAGTTCATGAAAAGAATATATTTATATCCAGCGGCGGCACCATGTGGCACGTCGAGACACCTCCATCTTTCCGACCATCCGGTCTAACGCTCGTCCTTTGAAAGCGCGTAGAATGTTCTCCAGACGCGAGATCGTGCCGACCATGGTGCGTCTGACTGATGATTTTGGACGTGGAAGAGAGCGATAGGCGAGAACATAGAATTTTGGCTCTTCTACTTTGTCGCACACTCATCACCAAAATCCTTTTCATTTTTGATATACTCCGAGAAGTAGTTGGTGGAAGATAGAAGGCAAGAATCCACCAAGTAAGAGAGGCTTTTGTATCCAAGTGCCGTGCCGTAACGTGCAAAGAAGCGCGCAAGATCTCACCGGGCATGAGACTTGCTAACATGTGTTTTGGGTTTGAACAGAGAGGCAGGTGAGAGCCTGTGATACCCGTTCTGACTTTTCAAGCTCACACACATGACCCTTCACGAATCTGAATTTGGTATTTTGTAGGCAAATAGGTTGGAGATGGAAGAGAAGGTCATCCAGACAGATGCCATCGGTTTTGTACACTTCTGCGAGACGAAAGTAAAGTAGGAAGGCCTAAGAGCTGGTGCTGGCCATGGAAGTGTTGGCGTACGTTTTTTAATATCCCTAGCGAGCGGAAGGGCAGCTGAGACTATTCTCTCGGTGCCTCAAGATTTTTGGACTCGCACTCATCACGATCAGGGCGTGTAAGTTTTGGGTTTGCAAACTGGTGGCTTGAGGATGGTAGGTGAGAGCTTTGAGGAGGAAGGGTCGAGTAGCTTTTATAGAGCAGCTTTTATAGAGCAGCGAAGTCGAGTGGTGTAGTAGGCAGAGTCGACAGATCGCGCCGATCATGTCACATCTTCACCAATGATTTGTTGTTGGAGGCCAAAAGAGAGAGGCATCCGGAGACCATGAAACTGGTTGCTATGTCTTTTGGGTCCACACTCATGTGTGTGATAGTTCGTCCTTTGAGTAATGCGTACTTGCCGGTTGAAGATAGAAGGATGAAATCTCTGGAAGGACGAATTTGGTGGTATTTATGTCGCAACAGACTAGGAACAAGCGGTTCATGCGGTTTGAAGGTGCGATAGGGCTTGCACATTAGCGAATGTGACGTAATTTTTGGATCGCGGGAAGAGAAGCGGAGGCGAACACAGCATAGGTTTGCCGAACTTGTTTTTTTGAAGCCGCACACATGGGATCGGTACACTCTTGTTTTGGTATTTCACACGAGATGGATGATGATAGAAAAAGAGGAGGAGAGCGACGAGGGAGTGGTATTTATAAGCAACGGCCGTGTACAAGAACACGGTCATATCAGGTAATAACATGTGTTTGCAGGCGGACGAGATGCGAGAAGAGCGAAGAAGAGACCGTCATAAGTAGTTCTATCTTTGCTTTTGATTTTGATCGGATCGTTGAATTTGCGCAAGTCCTCTCGCACAGATCATGCACAGTCCTTAAGTGTGTTTCTCGCACGCACAACATTGGCTTGACGTAGTCCGATTTTGTAGACGCCAGACAGGAACTCCAACACTCATGAATCGCTATCAAACAGCGTCTCACAAACATAAAACAGTTCTTGGTGGGTTTTGGTAAATAGAATGCCGAGAATGTTGTATAGGAAGGCCGAGGCCAGAACCGCACATATGACTGATGATATGTTCATCAAGACCGCACCAGCCATCTTGCTGATCATTGTACTATGCTGAAGTATTTTTTGAATATCCCGTAAAGCCAGACTTTTCGGCACAAACATATACCAGTTGACCCGAGGGTTTGGAAAGAAGGGCAGCGACAGTCTTCTCCCAGAGACATTGAACTTTGTTGAGAGTGTTTTTGATAGATAGAAGGAGGGAAGAAGACGGGCGAGCCATGTGAACGTTGGACAGTCTTTTCAAGCTCTCCACATAAAAACTCTCTCGAGTTGTTTTGGTCTCTTGGAAGAAGAGTGTAGAGATATTGCGAGGAAAGCAGACGAGCCACGACATGGTTTTATACAGTCCAGAATACCGCTAGTGCCCGTTTGGGTAGCAAGAGAGCGGAAGAAGAACATGTTCATTTCAGCAATCCTTTTCTGCAAAGGCGCAGAAGCGGACAGACAGACATGAAGTGGTTCCTATTCGCTTTTGAAGTCTCCAGACATGATAGTCATGTTGCTGTCTTTTGATCCAGCATGATACGACAAGATATCCCTTTGAGGAAGGCGCAGAAGCGAACGGACAGACATCCCAGGCAACGCTGGCCTTTTCAGGTCTCCAGACATCCGAACTCTGCTATTTGCTTTCTAATCCAACATATACTGGTACCATAGACGTTTTTGTAGAACGTGGAAAGGCGAACAAAGGACATGTTCACTCGTCGCATAAGTTTTTGGAGTCTCCAGACATTCGGTGATGATGCGATCTTTTGAATAGCTCGGAGGAGGAAGATGTAATAAGGTGTCTCAGTCCGCAAGACTGGTTTTATAGCCGTTGCAGCGAGCAGAGCAGCGCACTCATGATTACAGGCTGTATTGATTTTGTAGTTACGGTCTGCCACAACCCCCCGACCGCTCACATGGAATGCAACCGATCATCTTTCGAAGCAGATCATAGTGAAGAGTTGGAAGTGTTTTTTTGTTTTTCCAGGAGAGCGACGGGAGAACATGGCAGGCACCATCCACAGTTTTGAAACAGGCCATGAGTCCACTCTCACTAGAGTTTTGGTAAAATGGAAGAAGAAAAGATAGTTTGATAATCAGCCGAAGAAGCAAGTCGAGAGAGACCTTTATATAGCCACCAAGCTAGAGCAACTAGTCAGTACACCTGCATGACCTCGGGAGCTGCGGCAACTAAACGTTTGCCCCCAAAAAACTGCGGGTCAGCCGTAGCCTCCACTCATAACCGTCCGTCAATCGGGATGATCACCACATACTTCATGTGGTGGCAAGTATCAACAGAAACGTCAGATGAAGTTATGAATGTGTAGTATATAGTACAACACCACACCCATCTTCCCCAAGAGACCCATTCATCTACGAGATCGGTGACCTCTTTCCCATGGTATTCCAACCAGAAACCAGAGATTTCTCTCACTGTACGCCCGTGCCGAACAAACAAACAGATCCCGTCAAGCACCCATTATTTCATGAGGTAATACAGTAGTGGTAACCATAACCCCATTCGATGCCATGCCCTTTGCCTAAGCAGATATTTCCCAGAGGATAAAGATGAGCAGTAGAAGCAAGCAACAATGACAACAACAACCGAATTAAGACTCCAAGCTCTTTTTGGTGGGTGAAGTGTGTGAAAGCGATACGTTGATTTTCGTGGCCGTTCAATGATGGGAACGTGACGGTAATCGTAGTGATATGTAACAATGAAAGGCAAAAGTAATAAGTATGGTATATGGACAGTAGAATGCAGGTATGCCGCCGACCCTGGCAGTCAAGTATGGATGTGTAGAACGGAATGTGTGGCGAGTGACGGGTATCGTTCACGGATTACGAGGCCTATGTGGGCGGTATCTCTGGAGGGCGGAATGCTCTATAGGACGGTGTCCTCGATGCTGACACCGCCAGTGGCGTTGGCGGCGCTGTACTTGCCATTCGCAAGCGCGCTATGTACGGGTTCGTCGACGGTGGAGTTGTTCGTGCTTGGGTGGGAGCTGCTCTGCGGCGACTGCGCAGTGCTGCTGAGAGCGGGTGTGGGCATGGTCGGAGAGTCGATGCGATCGTAGCGGAACATCTTCTTCTCGACCTGGGCATCTGTTAGTAGACTGTCTTGAAGTAAAGTCTAGGTCACGCGACCACTTACCGAGACACATTGCTTGCCGGGAATGACCTTCTTGGCCTTTTCAAGCTCAGGCTTGAGTGCTTGGACGAACTTCTCGTAGTCATCGCGGTTGAGCGTGTCCAGCATCTTTTGGATGACATAGTTGCCGTAGCCGTCCCTGAGAAGGTTCATGACGTTTGACTCGCCTCGCTCGTTCTTGGCAAGGATGACCGATACAAGCTCACGACGTTGCGCATCGTCGCTGCACTTGAGGCACTGCTCGACGACGTTGCTGGCGAACTTATGCTTCGAGAACAGGAGGAACTGCGCCTTGATCAAAGCCACGATCTTAGCCCTGTCTTCAGGCAAGCCGTGCTCGATGACATGCTGAGTGACGTAGTTGCCGTATTGGTCGGTGATGAGCTTGGGTCCCTCTGCGTGTAGCTCGTTCAGGATGAATCTCCGTTGTGGCTCCGGTACCTTCTCAAGTAGTCGCTGAACGACACGGCATCCGTACGAGTTGACCGAGAGTACGCCGACGTTGCCTCTGAAAGCCTCGACCACCTTCTGAATGTACTGCATCGGTACGCGGTCAATGACCTTCTGGATGACGTGATTGCCGTTCTGGTCCTTCACCGTCTTGAGAACGTCTTTCTCAAGTTCCTTGACCATTTCAGCTTGCTGCTCGGTAAGTGCGTGCTCAAGTGCCTGGTGTGGTTAGTATCTATGCTCAAGTCATGGGAAAGAAGAATCTACCTTTTGAACTACTCTGCAAGCGTACATCTGGTTGGCAAGCGCAAGTACGTGGCCCTTCATCTTTGCAACAAGAATCTTCTTTTGGACCTGGTCTCCATGCTCAAAGAACTTCTGAATGACGTAGTTGCCAAAAACGTCCTGCATGAGCTGCAACGCGTTCTCTTCAAGCTCTCTGAAGACGCTCTCCTTGACTTCGCTGTTGGCCGACTCAAGCTTCTGCTGGATGAAGCGGGAGCCATGTTGATCTCCGGCAAACTCCACCACATGGCCTTTGATGTCGGTAAGCTCCCATCGCTTGCTCTGCTTTTGCTCTCTCTTGAAGTTGGACAGTTCAATGCTCATAGCGCCGAGCCCATCACCGACCTGCTGCTCCCGAGGACCCCTGGGCGGCTGCTGTTGGACAGGCTGCATGGGCTGCATCGAAGGCACGTTCATGTGCTGTGGTATAGCGGAAAGGGGCAGGCCGTTGGGGAGACCATACTGATACTGGTATGGGTTTTGCAGCTGAGCTGCGGGAAAGAGGTGCTGATACTGTTGCTGGTGAAGTTGGCTGGGAGAGATGAAGTTACGCCGTTCCTGTTGCGCCATCTGGAATCCAGCGAGTTTGTTCTGGAGCTGCGTGACGCTGTTGGGATGCGCCAACATTTGCTCGCTGGTGTACGGGTTGAGACGGTCGTACACAGGTGGTGTGCTCATCTGAGAGTAGAACGGACTCTGACGAACGCCAGTACCGTTCGGCACACTCCGACTGTTGTCAAGCTGAGAGGAACGTAGCTGCGAGTTGAGCTGGTGGTTGGGGTAACCATCTGGGGTGTATGTGCCTGCATTGCTGAAGTTGCCGTCATCTGCCCTGGAGAGCGCACCGTTCATGTCCTGCCCGGGTGTCGCTGCTGGCGTGAATGCGTTGATGCTAAACGACCTATTCGGTCCCATGCGCACGTCCTGCTCTTGCTCGTGGCTCGGCCTTCCGAACGTGCCAAACGACTCGCTTTGTATCGACCCGCTTCGTTCTTGGAAAGCACGGCCACTGGCCATGGAGAAGGACGATGCTTGACGGGGAAGCTGAGAGAACCTAGAAAAGGCATCTGCTGCCTGGCCGAAGGGTGCGGGTTCAGCACCGTGCCGGGACGGAGGCAGACTTCCATTTTGTGAACCAGCTCCACTAGAGGACGCAAAGTACTCTGAGTTTGCTACGCTCCGGCGGTCCTCGCTTGGGGAGTGGACTGAGCCTGTGTCTGGCCACGATGTGACGCCGGTGTCGGGGCGCTGGGATGCGGCGTCTGTCTGGCCGAATCCAAAGTTGGTGAAACCAGTGTTGAGGGAGTCAATCTGGTGCGAAGTGAAGGTGGAGGTGGTGGGGTCAAGGAATGGCTTCACCGGTCTCGCGTGTGAGCCTTGGCCTGCCAGCGAGCCCCTCGCAGAGGGGAAGAAGGATGAGGGCGAGTTGTCGCTGTACTGCTGGACGGGCGCTTGAGCGACAGATCGCTTCCGGGCTGGTGATACGCCGGAGCTCCTGGCGTGCGGTATGCTGCCGGATCGGTGTTCACCCCAAGCAGGTCGGGCAGTGGGTCTCCATTCGGTCTCTGAGTTGGCGAGAAGGGAACCTGAGCCGGTTTTGCCTTCGACCAAGTCTGCTGAGGCACCGTTCTCTGGGCGCGGGTCAGCGTTGTACCTGTCATAATTCAATAGTGGCATACCTCGGGGACGCGAGTTGTCTCTGCCAGCGGAGCCAAGCCCAAACGAGCCGATGGAGTTGTTCCAGATAGTCTTTCCCCACGGGGATGCGTGCGAGCGCTCGGCGTCTGTGCCGTTGAGCGAGATGCCGTTGGAGTAGTCGCGCGGTCGAGTCTGGAGCAAGTGTCAGTACGCCATGCTGCATGCATAGGGAAGTGGCTACCCACATTGCCGGACATGACTGCCATGTTACGGCTGGAATCACCGGGCGTGCTGTTCATTTACAGGCGAGAGTGACGTTATTAGGCGGCGGAGAATATAGTGCAGTCCGGTGGAGGATGCGCGGGGTGGCTTATGCGTGCGCGAGTGCGAGGGTCGGACTAGGCTCAGGCGTCAGCGCAGACAGGGCAGGTGCGGGGGCAGAGAATACGGACGCTCTTTCCAGCCGGTATAGTGAGGGACTATGAATATATTGTGCGGCGGCGTGGTGCACACGGATGCGGCAGCGAACAAAGAGAGGTGGTCGCGGACGTCCGAGGGAGGGAGGCCGTGGGTGCGGGCGAGGTATGCAGGTCCGGGTGGGTGATGGGGTCTTTCTAGACACAGTTCATGCTAGTCTTGAAGCAATGATGTTGCGCGCCAGGCGGGGGACGCATACGGGTGCGATGACCAAATGCAGCGGCGGGGAGTGCAAGGGCGGGAGGCAGGGCACGAATGCAGCGGTGCGGGAGGAGGATATAGATAATGGGCGGGCGTGCGGGCGGTGGGCGTGTGTATGTGGGCAGGCCGGGCGCGCGAGTTTGGTAGCGGGCGCAGAGGTTTCGGGGCGCAGCCTGAGGGAGAGGGTTGCGCCAGCTGTGGGTTCGGAAGATGTGTTTTTGGTGATGAAGATGCGACTGCCCTGGAGGATAGGATCGGCAACTAAGGGCAACTAAAGCACTGGGGAAACGCTAAGGCTCAGGTTGTACCGAAAGCGTCGCCTAGAGGTCTTCGGGTGCTTGGATGCAGGCCAGGCTTGGGGAGAGGGTCGACGGTGCGATTAGAATCTGAGGTATGATCTCCCTAAGAACAAATATCCTCCGTTTTCTTTCCTCTTGCGCCCACCGGCTGCAATGCGCTCGCGTGTGCCCAGAGCGAGTCAGGGACGATGCGGCAACGGAATCCGGACGATCCTCTGTGATGCGAGGTGTCGTTATGGCAGCCTGAGACACTCCCCATGCATGGATAGGAGACCCTCAGCATTATCTACAGGCCCGTCGTGTTTCACCACCACCCTGCCGCCACGTCCAAGCGCACCCTCTGCTACGCCCTCACCCTCCTGCATGCCAGTGTTTGCCGTCGGGACAAGATTCTTGGTAGCCACAAGAATTCGGTAGCCAACCCACGCCCACCATGTGTTGCCCTCGTCGACTTTTCTGCGATGACCAATTGACCTCTGTCTGCTTACTTGGAGCGAATTGGTCGACCTCGATGCAGCCTGAGTGACATGCATGGACATGAGGAACTCGTCGACGTGATTGCCTGGAGGCACAGCAGACGATGCACGGCAACCACGGTCGCACTCGCTGTGGGTTTGATCGATGAAGAAAAGCCTTCTCACGCTCGTGACCTAGATCATCCATGGATTGTCCTCGTTGCCAACACTCCCTGCAAATATAACGCCTCCTAGCTGCGGGTTTGCGCTGCAAGGCTGCAAGTCGGATGCGAGGCGTCCAGTGAGCCTCCCATCTCCGCTCTGTGTTCATAGCTGTGCTGCGCTGGCGGGCCAACAGGCAGAGCAAACTGCTGCAATCGCCAAGTACCTTCTTCGTGATAAAGTTCCTCCTCTGACTGTGTTCGTCATGGAGCTTCACATCTACACCGCTCTTGTTGCGTTGACTGGTGTTACACACGATAAGCCACCGTTGATCGCCGTGAGGTCACGATGGAACACCATCCAGTGCCATGTAGCTGTCTGAGAAGAGCCGGTGACAGCATTTTCCCCTCAATCGCAGACAGTTCATCGCTTCTAGAAGACGACATGCGACAGCCCCAGAGTCAAGGGGTCACTTGGCGTCAGGCAGGCGGGAAGGCATCAAACGTCCCGAAGGCTCAAACGCAGGGCCTGACGATGAGATGTTTAACGGCGGGGACAGGAACCGAGTGGGCGCAGTGGAGAAGCCAAGTGCCGGCCTGGCTGCATCCGTAGGACCATGACGAATTCCCTCGTGTCACTTGCGCGCTGCTGACGACTGCGACGCTGCAGGTGGAGCGGAAGCCTTATGCCAACTTTGCGGTGATGAAGGGCTGCCTCAAGGCTTTGTCGAACGCAAGAGAGACGTGCCTGAGGAGGCTCGAGTTCCATCACCACACGGTGCTCCCTGCGCCAGCCTTGGAAGCGGTCCACAAATCCATCGTTCATTACGCGCGTTGCTGTGGCATGTGCTATCGACCAGCATAATCCTGCATCGCTCCGCACTCGGGCAAGACGTTCGTCTCAGCCAGCGCTGTCAACTCGTCTCCACGCCGTTGTCACAATCAGTCTAAAACACGTCGCGTCTCGTACTCGATAAGCTTAACGCAACATCCAGATTGGCGTCGTGAGGGTGACAGTACATAGTCTGGGGCGGTCGCCTCAACCGAGCGCAATAGGAGTACGTGCTGGCCACGATCCACTGGCGATCCACACCGGAGAGTCTCGACCTCTGGCTAAATCCTACCCCCGTCATTCGTTATTACCGCCCCTTGCATATCAGAAAATACTCCACGCGCTATAACCGTTGTTTGTTTTGCTCTGTTTGCGGCGACGGCGTGTTTACTTTGGCTCGGGTTTGGGAACCATCGCAGAAGGACGACCCTGATTGTTGTGGTCTCGTGCGGCAGCGGCGGGGAGATCGCTGGCGCCAGCGAAGCCAAAAATAAGATCGAGAGGATGAGCGTGCTACCGTCATTTTATTGTGCCTCACGGACGCGGCTTAGCGTGGGCGGCTTCCTCTCCTAAACTAGGTAAAGAGGAAGGTGCGCGCCTTAGTGCCGATCGCTGATTCGCTATCAGTGCATCGTACCTGCATTTTGCATTGGTGACCGCAAGGCGGTTCAAAATAACGTTGGTTCCCATCTCGACCTCCTTGCTCACCTCCTCCACGGTCTCGCCCACCTTCACTCATTCTTCCCTCGTCGACTTATCGCTTCACTCTTTCAGCGATATCTCGCATTACGCTCTTTCCGACCTTGTGTCTTTCGTTCTCTATCAACTCACCAGCTTGCGAACCGACGGTGCTATCAGGTGCGTATCCGCTTGTTCCCGTTGGCGTCCGTCACATTCCGCCAAGCCTCCGCGCGAATGTACAACAACACCGAACAGAAGCAATGCGAGCGGGACAATGAGGACTAACATGCAAACAGCAACTACACTCCTTAATCAACAATACCAAACCCAGAGTTATCTGCACGCCATCGACACGCCCTAACGAAACACAATACCACCCATATCATAATGATGAACATCAACCTTATCAAGCGCAGCGAGGATGGCAGCCTTAGCTCTACCCACCTCGCCCTGCTCGTTACCCTCATGATGCTGGTTCTCCTCGGCATGCTGTGCATAGGAGGCCTCATGTTCCTCCGCAGCGTCCGCAGAGGCAGGAAACAAGCTCTGGCCGACCCAGAACTCCCCGTCTACGAGAAGCGCCAATCAAATGTCAACCGCCTGACTATCACTGCGATGCCGTACAAGGGCCGGGAATCCGTCATCACCTACTCGGAAAAGCAGAACCTCATGGACAGCCCTACCAGCCCGGTACCCGAGATCCGCATCACCTTCCCCGACGAGGTCGACGAGTCCGGCAAGCAACAATCGGGTCGCGTTGTCGTCGTTCGCGTTGGAGACCACAGTGTCGGACTGGAGCCCGTACAAGAGGACCTCCCAGCCTACCAGCGCGACGCATCAGACCGCTTCGACTCGCTCGACCTGGATCGCATGGGCGGACTGAAGGAGAAGGACGACAAATACTACTCATGAATCTCATGACACCAACTCTCAACACCCGGCTAGACTGCTGCTACGGAAAGTCTAGCAGCCCGGGCCTCCCAGCCACTTGGCTACGACCGACTACCCTTGATGACGGCTATACCGCGCTGATTGTCAGCTTCTCCGTTCCTGCTGAAGCTGTGGCATAGCCGGCAGGGCACACCATTTATGTATATTCTCGGAGTTGACTGGCCATTTTGCTGTATACCCCCTGATGATTGGCCATCTCTTCAACGAGGTTTCTACACCTCTTACATAACTCTTATTCACTAATGTATGATATACAACTCACTCTCTAGCGACTGCGCAGAGCAGCATGAGAGCCAATACAATCCTTTGTCAAGACATACAAAACGCGTGCATTTGATCGTGATGTAAAGTGGACGCGAATGAACCAGCGCATGCAGGGTCTTTGGGTATTCTGGTACGAACGGTAAGCATGCAGGCATGATGTCAAGGCTCGTATTACAAGTCCCAAGCACAGCTAGCGACGGGCGCGAGGCGCGTACCTCGATGGCGGATGCATGACATCGGAGGCTCGGCGAAATGGGTGATCCACTTGTGGATGCTTGCGACACATCCTCACTTTTGTAAACAGCGCACCAACTTTCTCCCCATGGATTCTGTCGCTCCTTGAGGCCTCTTCAGCCATTTGAATCCCATTGAATCTCCATTTGGCATTTGCTAAGCGCCAATTGGCCACCCCTCTCTATCCACCATGGAGAACGGCGAGGTCTTCACGCCTCTGTCCGACATCACCGCCGGCCGGAGCACCGCGCCCAAAGTTCAGAAGCCGGCGCAACAGCCACAACAGCAGCAGCCGTCGCAAGGTCAGCGGACGGCTGTACACGACCCTGATAAGGCGAAGAGGCTTGGACAGGTGCACTTCAAGGCTGCTCATGGCATCATTGTCGCTTTCTTTACCTTCATATTGTAGGCTCCCCCATCGCAGCCCTCTTCCGGCTTTCCCCTCAAGACATGCATCGCTAACGGTTACCAGAATACTCCACATCCTCGGTATCTACCTCTTCACCAGCGGCTTCCTTCTTACGCGATTGGTGCTCGACCACAAGTCAGAATGCGCCCTCCCCCCAATCGACTCTGCGAACGCGTACACACCGGGCGACGCGGAAAAGGGGTGCTGGCACCCGAAGACATTCAACAAAGCAGTCGTCATCATCGTCGACGCGCTGCGATATGACTTCACTGTGCCCTTCCCCGAACAATTCGAACCTGTCGATCTCGCTGTCGAAGCCGAGAACCCGTCCCAAGCCCCTCCAATCGCCCCGCGCCATTTCCACAATGCTTTCCCTGTGCTATACGAGACCGCGAGGAATCAGCCTCAGAACGCGTTCCTCTTGCCCTTCATCGCTGACCCGCCGACGGCCACGATGCAGAGGTTGAAGGGGCTCACAACGGGTACGTTGCCCACCTTCATCGATGTGGGCAGCAACTTTGCGGGCCAGGAGATTCTTGAGGATAACTTGGTTGGACAATTGAAGAATGCGGGCAAGAGGATGGTTCACCTCGGTGACGACACATGGCACGCTCTTTTCCCGGACTACTTCGAGCCGAACCTCACGCACGCGTACGATTCGTTCAACGTCTGGGACCTACACACTGTCGACTATGGCGTGAGTGAGCACATCTTCCCACTTTTGCAGGCTGAGAATGCCGACAAGTGGGATGTCATATTCGGTCACTATCTGGGCGTGGACCACGCTGGACACCGTTACGGACCCGATCACCCTGCCATGGCCGCGAAGTTGAGCGAGATGGACAAGGTCTTCCAGCGCATGATTAGGTCCATCGATGACGACACTCTGTTAGTTGTTATGGGAGATCACGGTATGGACGCAAAGGGTGACCATGGAGGAGAGTCGGATGATGAGATTCAGGCTGCGCTATGGATGTACTCGAAGAAGGGTGTGTTTGGGCGCAGCGACCCTGCCTATGTCGCGCCTCCGGCCAACGCAAAGACTCGGCCAGTTGGACAGATCGACCTCGTCCCAACTCTATCGCTTCTTCTTGGCATGCCCATACCCTTCAACAACCTCGGAAAACCCATCGAAGAGGCTTTCATCGGCAAGGACGGCGCTGACTACAAGAACTTGGCGACCGTCAACCGTCTGACAGCTGCGCAAATCCACAACTACCAGCATGAGTATGCCAAGGTTCGTGGTATTGCTGATAGCGCAAGGGCTTCTTCGCTTGCCCTCTGGAAGAACGCAAATGACGCGTGGAACTCGCTCGGAAAGTCAAAGCCCAACAGTGATGAGATGCGCCAGGCGTACGAGGCTTTCGGTGTCTACCAGCGCGATACGCTCCGTATCTGCCGCGACCTTTGGGCTCGATTCGACGTCCCTAGGATGGTCAGTGGTGTCACAGTCTTGGCCGCCAGTCTGATCGTAGTCGCACTCTACGCTAGGATTCTTCATGGCGATCGTGCCGATGTCACTCCCGTCTTCTTCACCCGAGGCGCCATTGGTCTGGTCCTCGGAGGTATTGTTGGTGTTGGCTTTACTATCTTCATGCCAGTGGACACCAAGTCGCACGTCCTCGTCCTTTCCTCTGCTCTCACTGGAATCGTCGGCTGCGCTTCTACTTTCTACTCGCTGAGTTACCGCCTCATGCCTCCGATGCCGAACAGCATTTGGGGCTGGACGAGTGTCATTTTCACACTTGCGCTCTCTGGCGGCTTTGCAGCCAACTCCTTCACTATCTGGGAAGACGAGATTCTCCTGTACTTCCTGACCACCTTCGGTGTTCTTGCACTTATCTCATCTTTCCGCCGCAAGAGTATTTCAGATCGCACTCTGGGCGCTTACCACTCCATCTTATTCACCATCTTGCTCAGGGTTGCTAGCTTCTCGAGACTGTGCAGAGAAGAGCAGATGCCATACTGCAAGTCCACATACTATGGATCCGCTCTGTCAACTACATCCGCACCATGGCAACTCGCCATTCCCGTAGCTGCCGCCATCCTCATCCCCACATTCATTAAGAGCTACTACGACGGCACCAAGAGCTACCAGCACTACGCGACCCTCTGGATAGGTCTCGCACTGCGCTTCGGCCTAATGATGTCCGCCGCATACTGGGCCCTCGACGCCGCCGACGACGGCGAATGGGCCCCCGGCTGGGAAAACATCATCCGCATCACCAAGCGCTTCCTCGCCCAGATCGTGCTCGCCATCAGCATGGCCTTCGGCTACTCAATCTACAACTGGTCCAAGCCCCTCCTCAACGTCATCATCAACAAAGACGGCGGCGTCGACGAGAACGGCGCCCCCAAGGAAGAAGTCATCATCCACGGTTTCGCAAACGTCCACGGCTCGCGCTACGCCCTCCTCATCACCATCTGGTACCTCGCCGTCGCCGTGTTGCAGAAACCCATGGGCGCAGGTGCAATTGGCATACTAGTCTGGCAACTCTTCTCCCTCTTCGAAATCATCGACACGAACAACCTGCGTCAATCCGCCATCGGCCCCGTTGTCCTCGGCCTCCTCGGCTCCTTCCACTTCTTCAAAACAGGCCACCAAGCCACCCTCTCCTCCATCCAATGGGAATCAGCTTTCATCCCCTTGACCAAGATACGTTACCCATGGACCCCCATCATCGTCATCCTCAACACCTTCGGCGCACAGATTCTGTGTGCTATCGCGGTGCCGGCGTGTGTGCTTTGGAAGGTTAAGCCTCAGAAGAAGGGCCTGCTTAGTGTGGTTACGAAGGCGGTGGCTACGCATGTTTTGTTTTATGCGACTGTTAATCTGGCGACGACGATGTGGGCGGGGCATCTGAGGAGGCATCTTATGCTTTATAGGATCTTTTGTCCTAGGTTTATGGTGGGCGCTGTGGTGCTGCTGGTTGTGGATGTGGTGTTGATTGTTATTGCGCTGTGGGGGACTAGGATGAGTATGTTGAGTACGGCGGAGGTGTTTGGGTTTGGGGGGTAGGTGGGATGGTGGTGAGAGGTGGAGAGGTGGTGGTTGTAGTACTGATGCTGTTGTGTCTACTCCAGCCTGAATTGGCCTCAGTGTCTGAGTAGGCGGGCTGAGATGGTTGTATAGCATCGCATGCATCGGCGCGGGCTTGGTTGTTGTTGTATTAGCATCGCTTGCAACTTCTTTCGTTTTTTTGTGTTCAATGTAAGAAGCTCATGGAAAGTATCACATACGCGACTTCCTTGTTTGTTCCCTTCTCACACCGTCTCGTCATTCCATTACCTTGATCCTTGCCGTTCGCTCCTGCTCCTTCCGGATCCAAACGCGCCAGATTGGCCTAGAATAGCCCTGCGCGAGACCGCTCTCTTACCTTTTGCCTCCTGCTATCCTCTCGCGGTTCTCCCGCCAATATATTGCGAGCGCATTACGTCATGCTTCGCATCGACAACGCGAGGTAAAGGTAAAGGTGGCCGCCTCAGTCACCGCTGTTCGTCTATATCAACGTCTCAGCCTGGACCTCCACGTCTCCTGCACCACACTCGGAAAGTACTCAAAAGCAAGTCTTATTGCACAATCGTCTGCGATAAAACTTATGGAGTAACCCTCCTCACGGTACATCTATCAATCGGAAAGTCGGCCACAATCCAGTGGAGAGGCATTCTCGAACGGGAGCGATAGCGACCACGGCATAGTCGTGCGCTTGACGAGACTGCGCAAGGAAGCGGTGAGTCTTTTGTTCTCGATACACCCCGAAAACGAGTTGTACTGACTGGCGGTACAGGTCAATACTAAGACGGCGCCGCTCCTAAGACTTGGCCTCTCCTCTTAACGACAACTCACCTTATCTCGACACTACGTCCTACTTCAACGGATGCATATCTATTACCCCGGTAATATGGCTTTACAACAGCAGCATCCAGGAAGCGCGGCGACTAGAAATAAACCCTGCGAAGAAAATCCCTATGGCATCTTCGTCGAGGAAGACCTCATCGACGACTCGACCGGCGTCGTACCAACAAAGGGACTAGGCATACCGTTAAGCCTCAAGGATCGCTTCCTAAGGCGCCTGTCAAAGATGCTAGGCACCGCAGCGAACATACGAGAGACACCCAACGGCAACGTCATGGATATCTTCTTGACCAGAGACAAAACGTCGCCTCGGCCAAACATTGCGCTGGATGAAGGACTACGCAAATTTGTGCGCGAGCTCGAAGATGGGCTGGCCGCTGTTGCGACTCATTCTTCTGGTATGCTACATCTAACTACAAGCGTTCATGACTAACATCTTTAGGGCTGCCACTCGATCGCGCATGCTCGGAACTATGGGATGTAATCCTCATCGCCAACTATGATAGAGTGGAACAAGTCATACGAAGTATACAGAAGAATTTCGACCAGAACAGGACTACCTTCGACGAACTCGTAACAAGGATGTTCGGCATCGACGACATGGACAACAAAGGCTCCATGTTGGACCGAGAGCTTGGTGAAAAAATAATCAGGCTATCTCACGATGTCCATGCTTTCGATGGCTCAATGAGAGATTTGAATGAACTCGCCCAGTTCGCTTCAACTATGACTAGGGTAAATCACAATCTACAGGATCGGCTAAGATACCTTCTAGAGAAGACTTACTTCGCCAACAAGTTGTTCGACCTCATCTGCGCCCTCGGCTTTCCCGAACGTGTCTACAGCACCCTGGTCCGGGCTGCTAGATCTTCGCAGACATTTGGGAAGGTCAACTTCCACTTGAGACCTCAGTCGCCGGTCAAATTTGTTTCCTTTGCGACTCCGATGGCGAGCGCGATGTCCTCAAGCACCATCAAGCCGTACTCACCACCTCCCAAGGAGAAGTCGAAGCGGATGAAGCAGTATGAAGCGACAGCGATGGAAACAACAATTGCGATTGCCACTCTTCCCTCTCTTCCTCTTCCTTCCCCCCCTCCTCAGCCAGCTGTCACCAGCCTCGGTTCGCTGATGACCGCGGTGCGACCTTACCTGAATCAACAAGATCGAGATCTCCCTCTCCATTCCCTCCAACCCGCAACCAAGCAAGAGACGGCAAAACTCATTGGCACCATATTGAGGAAGAGGTTACTTGCAACAGACACAACTGCATGGTACGCCTTTGGCTTTGTGACCGCTAAGGACGAGGACCAAGAGAGACAACTAGCAGGGCTTTACGTCGCAATATTGAAGGAGGCTAAAGATCCCGAAGCCGCGTTCCGAGAACTTCAGACTGCTTTGGAAACGAACTCCATAGTAAAGCTTTTCGACAAGTACGAGTACGCTCATTTCCGCGACCTATTCCCGTACCTCAAGACCTTCCTCTCCACCCCACCCACCAAGCGCTCCACCGTCTGGCGTCTTCGGCAGTTCATCCAGGATCCAGTTGATGACGAACCGCCCGCATGTCTCCAACGGGACTACGGTTTCAAATTCTGCCGGCCCCGCGAAGAAGTCCTCCGCCTCAAGGAGATCTACATTAACATACTGAAGAAGCTGGGCCCGCAGAAGTTGGATATCGCATGTATCAACGGTCGATTGTCCGAGACGGCGATGAAAGAAGGCGTTCACGTTGATCAGAAAGATAGGCGGTTTCTTAAAAACGATTACGACTCGCCGTTCCTGGGAGTGGACTGTGAAGGTGGGCTTCAGAACTACCGCGGCCCGTTTTACAGGAAGCCGCTGAAGCTCTAGGTGGGGTGTCGGAATGAGCATGACGTGTATGGCGCCCACGGAGGCAAGCCCTGAACATCCGCTTGACGAGCTCTTGGAGAAGGGCGTGAAGCGATCAATCGGCTTCTGACATACCTGCGATGAACGCTGGATGATATCTGCATGTTATTCGGGCGATGGGATTTGGTGTGTATCTTGCTTTCGGGGCTCTGCGGGATTGTCTGCGATCAATTTACGGAAATGGTAGCCAACAAAAAGCGTTGCGATATACCCATGAGTTTTGGTTCCACGCGAGGCGGCAGCGTGGACATGACTTGGGCGATTGGCTTTTTGACTTGCTGCTTCTCATATTGATCTTCTCAAAGGTTGGGTTTTGCGTGCGGAAATGGGTATCTGGGACTTCTTTTAGCACCAAAATATGCAGCGGCTGAGGCATGCAATCTACTGATTTCGAAACACACCTCCTCTTGATCAACTCGTGATGTCTTAGATGCGCGTTGCTAGACTGGTCACACTTTTCTGCGTCCTTGTTAATGGAAATTTGGGCTTGTTAACTCATTCCCGTCATCGCCGTTGAGGGATTGATGCACGTGACACTACCGCCCGTGGACGCATATATAAACCCTCATTCCTCTTCACCTCTTCTTGTTCATCACACACCTACTTTCCGGGCCTCTTTTCAAAAAGCTACTGTGCAGGTGCACATGGTGCTTTCTCCAAAATACGAGAGCCGGACTGGCATGTCTGTCTCTCGGTCTTCTTCCTCTTTATAAAATACTCTTTGGCTGCTCGCATATGCAGAGCAAAGATCTTCTCCTCTTATTAACTTCAACGCCGCACAACGAAAATGAAAAGAACAACAAGTCATGTTGTCAAAAACACACCAAAATCGCGCACGCCCGTCGATGTTCTCGAAAGACCGAAAGGATAAAGAGAAGTGAAGATGTGCTCGCCTAGTTCTCTCTGTCCTATATCTACGTCGACTTCGCGACCGGTCTTGTTATCTTACCTCTTCTTCCCCTGGGTCATATTCCAAAAAAATCATTAACAGCCACATCATGATCTGCTGGCCTGGTCGACCAAAAAAATGAATTCGACGAGATATGCTGCGCGCTTTCTTCTCTTGTTGAACCAAAACTTAATGGAATGGCTTAAATGTTGGTGTCTGAAAGACATGGTTCACATCGCGATGTGGGGTGGACTTGCCCGCGCGTTGATGCAAACTTCTTCTAAAATACACTACGAGCTGCTCATGTGCGCTGTGCCGTCTGCGCTGGCTCCACGGTCGATGCTGGCGTTGATGGCGGATATAAAGCTTCGATCGAGATTAAGAGAAGTTTGTTGTCGCACACTGTTCTTCCTTCCCTTTCTTAAAACAATCACGGCACAGGTTCATGTGTCGATCAAAAAAGTGGAGCGGTAGACCGCATGGTGTGCGCTCGCTCTGCCTTCTTGGTCTTACATCTTAATCGCAACAATTGTCAGCCATGGCGTTCTAGAAAATTCCGGTCGGAGTAGACATGTGTGCGTCCGGGGAGATGGGACAATTCTTCCGATGTCAAAAGCACAAACGAAAAGGCCCATGCCCTGCGCGTCTCGTCTGCGCTGCATCAAACCTCGACAGCGAAAAAAAATTACGATGAGAGCGTCGGATGCGGTGCGCGAGTATAAAACCCATCATCTTTCACGTGTTCTCCATCTTCCATATCATCTCGCAGCTGTGGGTGACCGAAACCACTGGCTCACAAAATGATGCCTTCGTTCCAAATTCGACTGAGAAACTCTTTATGTTTCTGCGCGCTCGCGTATTCTCTTGATCTTCACCAAACACACGTGACATTATCTTCTCTGTCTTTCGCGCTCGAGCCCAAGGGGTCTTTTCGCGAGGGTACTTTGATTGTGTACGTTGGGGGGAGATATTCGGTAACGGTGGTTCGTGACACCATCTGCATGACGCTGTCATCGTGTCTCAAAAATGGGAGACAAACGCGTCATGTCTACGAAACATCAGGATGCGAATGTATGGGTTGGCGCTGGGTGTGGCGGTAGTGTTCGCGTTGGGTGCGCGTGGCGACGATGATGATCGGCATCGTGATTGCGGACTGAGGTGTAGCCATGACCAGGTCGCAATCTGAGTCAAAGGCGCGCTCTGTCCTTCGTCGTGGAATGAGGAACGTGCCCGTGGAATGGGGTTGCGTAATGACGTCTAGCCATGACTAGACCCCAGTGTGAGTCAAAGGTGCACTCTGTCCTTCGTTATGGAATGGGGCTGTGCAATGAGGGATGAGGGTGTGGCATGAGGTTGCGGAACGAGGTTGTGACCTCATGGTGGAACCACCGAGGTTGATGATGACGTAAGCTCCTAGCGTGGTATCGACGCGTCACGTCTCCGACCACCATCGTGATGCCCTATCCTTCATCATCGCGTATGTTGTTCGCCGATGCGTGGATCGTACTGCTCGGTGGTATTGTTTCCAACATACTAGTTTAATATTGCGTATCGCTGGTCTTTGCGGAGGCCGCCTTTCCTTCTACTCTTCACCCACCATCCATGCGCTCGGCGCCATCGTCGCCACATCAGTTCCAGCGCATGAATACCCTTGTATCGTTTTTTTGTATTTTCATATTTTCGTCTAGCTATGTACACGTCCGCATTCTCCAATCCCATCATTAACCCTCCGATACTATAAACACGCCCGCTGTGGGAAAACTCGCTCTCACAACCATCGCAAACCACCGACCTGATACCGAAACGCCCACGCTATAAACACGTAATGATAAACAAAGCCTTTCCAGAAAGCCTATCCGATATACCGACCGCAATGAGCAAAGGAAAGAGAACGGACGACCTTGTCCGTCCGTAAACCATTGTTCCGTAAACAGAGAAGCAATTGAATCTCCACATGCCAAGCAAGAAACAACGCGCACGCAAGGAATGAATAACACCGCCGGCAATCCCTTTATACCATCTCCGATTCCACGTACTATGTACCATGCATCTTAACCTTAGGTACCGCGTCCCCTCCCGCGCCCCCTCCCTCTAGAATTTCCGCCTCTACCTCTACTTACAGGGTTAGGATGGGCGGATCCTTGGCTGTAGCCTCGTCCACCACCCGCTGCAGGTGCTATACTATGTTGTGGTGTACCGGTGGGTGCTGGGGGAATACCTTGGTGTCTACCACCCGCTGCAGATGTTATAGTATGTTGTGGTGTGCCGGTGGGTGCTTGTAGAACACCTCCGTATCCGCTGGTGGGTGCTGGTGCATTAACTCGTGGTGTATGTGAACTATCATGATGAGGGGCTGTATGATGTGGCGGATGTGGCTGTGGCGGGGGAAATCCAGATTGTAGAGCACTGTTGGCTACTCTCGTATTAAGTGCGCTCCACGAGCTGAAAGAGGCACCACTCTGGCCGCTTGCGGGTGTTTTTCCCCACGCTTTTGCGGTTCCGGGATAATTCGATGGTGGGTTCACCGAATTTTCATTGCGAGGATAATGCTGAGGTTGATTTTCAGGATCATCGAGAATTTTCGCCAGTTCGGCGACAGGGTCCCAAGGGCTTCCCTGGCGACTGGCCCTACCAGAAGTACCTTGAGGTGGCGGTTGTGTAGAATACCCTACATGTTGATTCCCAAGCTGTTGTGTTGACGATGCTTGTCTTGTTTGTAGAGTACCTGATTGTGTAGCCCCGACACCGCCCGTGGTACCTTGCATGACGCTGCGCACTACATCTGGATTCATCTCGCTTAGTAGATCTCCATTGGTGAAAAGGCGGATAGATGCTGGGGTTGGATAAATATAGGCACCACGCTCCTTCCCTCTAGAGCTAGCGACTCCTGGAATGTAGAGATCTCCAGGGGGTGGCCCTTGCCAAACCGCGTGGCAAGTTTTCGTGAGCATGGTGTGAAGTTCGGCTTCCGTATTTCTTTTCGCTCGGATACCATTTACACGGGCTAAATCGAACTTGAGTCTCCAAAGGGCGACCCAAAAGGTTGCGAAATGTCGAATAAAGTCCATTTTCACCTGTCCCACTATCCAAGGATTTGCAGCAACGATTTCCCCAGCCCGTTCTTCTCCGTTTTTAGTTTCTCTCCTTATATCGCTTGGATAGGGTTCGCCGGCGCGGTTGGTCGACATAGTGATTGACTAGGTATACGTTGGGATATCTTTGTGTTCGAGTGTTCGAGTGTGCGAGTGTGCGAGTGTTCGATTAGTTCGAGAGTATATAAGTAAGCTACTGACCGGCAGTAGATTGTTGGAGCTTTGATACAACGTTGGAATGGTGGAAGTAGTGGTTGTGGTCGTTGTTGGTGGTCTGCAGAAGGAAAAGTACAGCACGTCTAACTATTTATATCCAGCAGTGACAAACGCCCTCGGCCTTCATGAATCGTATGTGACTCCATCTTGGTGACTTTCTCCTCTTGACTTCTTGTATGTGACTCTCGATATTTGACTCATTACGTGACAATACCAGAGTTCACGAAGAGCTACTCGAACAATGGCTATTGTCTGTGACGCGATTGTTCGCCGTCGAAAGCCGTGCGATTCACGTTATGCTGCTGAGAGACCGGTATTTCCGCTTGTTAGGCACAAACAAGCGATGCGCAGGCCTTCATGCCGTTCGGGCGTATGAACCACAGCTCACATGAAAATCTAAATATTGACAATACTCGCAAACAAAAGTCTCGAGGCAGTGTGCGTGTGCAGAACCCGCGCTATATGTGCGTAAATTTAGAAGTATTGGGAAGACTTGCGCGACTTCCCTAGGATGTGCGACAAGTTTCGATCGAGAGATAAGAACAACTACGCAACACAAGCATCGAAGAGGGAGAGTCGGGATCGATATTGAAAAGATATGTAGAATGTTGTAGATTACAGTACATGCCAAGAATTAGTAATGACTAGCCAGCTACCTATGCCGCTCCGCAATGTCCATTACAAAGCCGCTTGTCTTGTATAAACCCATGAAACACCGCTGCATATCCGACTGTACATATAACACCGCTGAAGAACTTCAAGAA